AAACTATTAACAAAAGGAAAAGAATTTTTTTTTTTTTTTGAGATGGAGTCTTAATCTGTCATTCAGGCTGCAGTGCAGTGGCACAATCTGGGCTCACTGCAACTTCCACCTTTCAGGTTCAAGCAATTCTCACGTCTCAGCCTCTTGCGTGGCTGGGATTACAGGGGCCTGCTGCCACACCTGGCTATTTTTTTGTATTTTTAGTGGACACGAGGTTTTGCAATGTTGGCCAGGCTGGTCTTGAACTCCTTATCTCAAGTGATTCACCCGCCTCAGCCTCCCAAAGTGCTAAAATTACAGGCATCAGCCACTGCACTGGGCCATAATTTTTAAAAATATAATACATTAATGGCTATATGGTTTAAAAATATAGAAATAAGTACTGAGAGAATTTTAATAGTGTGAGCAAAGTTCAATTCTTAAATTGGATGAAGAATTCGTGGGTATGTTATTTTATTATGTTTTGTAAGAATGTAACTTCTTGTTTTTTTGTATGTCTCAAATGTTTTATAGTAATAAAAAACATAAAATTTTGCTCACCTAAAATAGATAGTTTTAACCCGTTTTTAAAATGTATATTTGTGCTATCTGTAAAAGAATATCCTCAGCTGGGCATGGTGGCTCACACCCGTAACCCCAGCACTTTGGAAGGTTGAGGTGGGTGGATCACGAGGTCAGGAGTTCAAGCCCAGCCTGTCCAACATGGTGAAACTCCATTTCTACTAAAAATACAAAAATTGGTCAGACGTGGTGGTGCGTACCTGTAATCCCAGCTACTCAGGAGGCAGAGGCAGCAGAATTGCTTGAACCCAGGAGGTGGAGGTTGCAGTGAGTCAAGATAACGCCACTGCGCTCCAGCCGGTGCGACAAAACGAGACTCTGTCTCAAAAAAAAAAAAAAAAAAAAGTCCTGATAGAGTGTTTGAAAGAAAACAGCAGAGGATTATCAGATTTACATATTTGATTATTTATCGACCTATCTATAGGATCTTAAAAGGTTATTTAATGTCTTTGAGCCAGTATTCTGTACTTACTTCAAGGGTACATTATGAGAATAATAATAAATTACATATAAACTGCCCGCCTATTAAAGGTACTCAATGAGTAGCAGTTATTATTAGCAACATGAAGTCACAATACACACTCAAACTCATATTCACTCAGTATGCACTCAAATTTATCCATGACTCAGATAACCAGGTGTTTGGGATTTTTTTGTTTTTGTTTGTCTTGATAAATATGTCCAGACAGCTAAAAGCAATTTTGACTACTTTATGAAGACATGGTAGCACTGTCCAAAGAACATCAAAGTGAATCTTTATATTAAATTTTAGTATCAACCCTTTATTTATAATTTAAAAAAGCTCACCTTTTAGAGTTATTTGCATGTCTCTGACATACTTTCTAAAATGTCTGATAAAATAATAAAACCATTTTGAGATATTCTTCCAATTATGATTTTCAATATATCAAACATTCCAACAATTTCAGAATATTTTTGTTCCTTTTTAATAGAATCTGAGAAATAGTCAATTTGAACATCTGTAAATTTGAGGAATTTCTTTCTATGTATTTTAAAAAATATACTGTTAAAAAACTAGGAAACATTGAAAGTCCCTATGATTTTCACCGAATTCCACTGAGCATAACTAGGCTGTGCCAAAAAATATACCAATTTGCTGATATCGTTTGCTGCACGTGGTCTATTTAAGCATTAACATGAAACCCACCCGCTGTGCCTGATTCATTCTTCTAATTCCTTCAGTTCATCAGTATCCCCAGGGGAAGAAAGGAAAGGGCCTATTAAAAGTTAGATGGTTAGCCATGGTCAAGTTCAACATCAAACAAGATTTCCAAGTCATAAAATTTTGTCTTTGGCATTTTCTTTTTTTGTGCATATTTCTTATCTTTTAGGTCCTTATCGTCTATGAACTCACAAACCTCGTCTACCTAGCTTTCGTCTCTCATTTCCACACTATGTCCAGGACCCATAATATTTGAAATAAAGCTCTTAATCTTTTTCTTTTTTCCAACTAAAATTGGTGTAATCTCATACAATGTAACATGACAATGTTATTTAATTAAATGTTGATTTACTGGGAGAATGAGATAGTATATAAGAGCTGAATGCAGATGCAAAAAATGAATAACAAAATGCTCGATTTGTTTCATTTAACATTTGTTAGTGCTTACCAGTGTCCTTGAATAAGCTTCCCTATTTTTTTTTCCAAGTTTTGAATGAATTGAATCCATAAGCAATGAGTAATAATGCTCCTGGCCTGTAGGTGTATCGGTCCTGTCATCTTGGAGTCTGGGACAAGCAGGCACTGGGTAGTTTTTTGTGGTTGTTGAATAGGGGTCCCTAAACATGCCACTCTACCTCAGTTATGCATGTTCTTTACTATGGCTCCACATCATTTGTGAATTCTACTTTTCCCCCATGGCATCTATGCAGGCCTACCCCAATTTTTCTTTTCTTTTCTTTTCTTTTTTTGAGACAGAGTCTTGCTCTGTTGCCCAGGCTGGAGTGCAGTGGCATGATTTTGGCTCACTGCAACCTCTGCCTCCTGGGTTCAAGCAATTCTCTGCCTCAGTCTCAGAGTAGTTGGGATTACAGGTACCTGCCACCATGCCTGGCTAATTTTTGTATTTTTAGTAGAAATGCGGTTTTACCACGTTGGCCAGACTGGCTTCAACTCCTGATCTCATGAACCACCCACCTCAGCCTCCCAAAGTGCTGTGATTACAGGCATGAATCACTGTGCCTGGACAGGCTACCCAAACTATTAGCAACCCAGGGCTTCAGTCTCTTGACCTGTCAGCATAGCACCAGTGCCTCTGTTAGGACTCTACCTGCCTTGGACTTTTACTTTGGACTTGGCAATCAGAAAGATAACCCAGCTGCACAATCTTGAATGTTCATCAAAACAAGTTGAAATTTCAGAATATCTATTGTTTGGTATGCCATAGTATGTATAATTGAGAATCATATCCACTGTCATTTGCAAATAGCTCAAAATTCCAGTGCCATGGATGACCTTCAATATTATCATTTCCACCTAGATGATTATGCAGAACAAGAAACCAAGCCCCCAAAAAGTTACAGATTTGCCACAAATGACACACTATTTAAGTGGTGGAACCTGGACTATGGTTTCTTGATTCTTAGGCAGGCTCTTTTTGTTTTTTGTTTTTTTTGAATTTTTTGATTATTTTCTTTTATTTTTTAAACCATGCCTGCTGATTCCTTAACCAGAGGGAGAGAAGAATTTGTACAAATCCTTGTTCTTAATATAAATACCTAATGTTACTACAGCTGGTGGTCAGCATGTCCATACTATGTGTTGTTTACACATTGTTTGTAACTGGCTATTTTAAATGGATAACTTCTAAACATGGAATTATGTTTTTATCCAACTGTCTTCATGCATATATTTGGCAATTCTGCACACAGTGAAGCTAATAATGATGCTTCTGATGACTGAAACGTGGGCATTCTACTTGAGAAGGCTTCTGAATTATTGCTTAAACTTACACGAACTTAAAACAATTAGAAATTGTGAGCGCTAACATTCTCTCTGTTATCAAAGAGCTGTGCCAGCATAATCTTTAAAATTATAATATTGTGGTCTGGCTGATTTCTGCTATTTGGATTCTTTCTAAAATAAGATGTTCACATTTTCTTTTAAAGTGTCAATTTATTGCAGTACTACAAGTGACAGCACTCAAACACGAAGAATTTTTCCTCAAGTTCTAATGGGAGACAGTTCAAACCTCTCCACAGGCTGATTCCTTTCCACTTTTTATTTACTCATTTTCAAAGGTAAAGACTGAATAGTAAGCACCACATTAATGATTCCATATATCCCCTGAGATGAGCAATGTCCTCAAATTACTTATGTCAAATATATACAGGCACATCTACTTTTTAAATAGAGCTCACCCTATCAAAATTATATTTCCATAGGCTCTGATTCTTTAAAGAGTTACAGCAAAGACATCTTGGACAAATGCTGCATTGTGCAGTGCACATTCCTACTCTACAGTTTTAATCACTACTGGAAGAGTCACATGTAACTGAATAAAAATTCATTAGACATAAAGAAAAGTAATCCTAATTAGATTTTATCTTGGATGAACAAAACTCACAGTGCATATATTGTTGGTCATAATGTATTTCCCTAAGCCCCACAATTGCTAAAAATACCGAATCAATCACCACCCAGATTGCATCATGAAGTGTGTGAACTAGTGCATTAAAAGGCTGTGTTAGCACCAACAAAGTTTATTGGGGTAACTGCATTCAAGACGCACATGGCATACCTTTAAATAGCACTGTTAAAATACCAAATAAAATGTCAACGTATGTCAGGTCTCTGGCTTTTATAAATTGTTTAGACTGGGAAATGCTGGGCTTTGGACATTGTTCTTTTCACATGGTGTAGAAAAGAAGAGACCATAAAAAGAAAAGAACAATAAAGCATAGCTCATATTTTAAGTTCTTTCATGGAAAAACACATTCTGGATCATTACCCTCCTAATCAACAATTTCCTTCTTCCTCCCAATCCTTCCCGTCTGGTATTTACCTTTCTCTGGCTCCCTCTCTCTGGGTGGTATTCTGAGCTTATACACACTACTCAGTAATCATATTTTTAAAATCGCTTCAAAAGAGAATCCCAGAATGGCATGACAGATATGTATATGCTAAGGGTATTTTTAACCTGAACCATAGCTTTACTTCTGATCTCTATGCTCTTAAATGTACACCGGGGGCGCCGGAAAGCAGGGTGTCCTCAGGGAGAAGAAGGCCCTGAGAGCAGATTGAGCTACTCCCTGCCTACAGATGAATTATTATCACACCTTAGTGGCCATCTCTGCCCTTTTCCTGATGCACCCTTCCTTTTATTATCATACCACACTCCCCACAATTCCCATATAACAGCATCTCTGTTTCAGCTTCTCCTTTGGATTTCCCACACTTACTGCAACCCAGACCTCACCTTCAGCTCTCCTGAGGCCACTTTGGAAGCCAGCTCGATGACACAGCCAACAGCCATGCGTGCAGCACCGGACGAGTGCAGTTCATTCCAAATGGTGTCACTGTCCACCTGAGCAAACAGTCAGCAGAGTCCGAAGACAGAAGAAGAAAGCAAAAGAGAAGGGAGAGATGAAAGGGGGGAAGAGGGGAAGAGGTCGCAGGGGAAGAGGGACAGAGAGAGAAAGCAAATCTGTGAGCAAGGGCTGGCAGGGTAACAGCCTATGTACAATAACATTAGTCTTCCGTCTTGGCCAGCTGAAAAGATCTTCTGGACATGGCTTTGCTTATACTTTTTCTCTACACTGACTTCTCCAATGGAAACACATTCCTGCCATGCCTCACTGCCATTCTCTGTTTAGATTTCTCATTACAAACAGCATTACATAGGCCGGATCTGGCTTAGTTACAGGCCTGCTAGAAACCAGGCCCCAGTAGTAGATAGAGTAAAAACTAACAGCACTTAGTTATACATAAAAATAGGATTTGCAAGTGCTAGAGGGGGAAAATTCAAATACCTTTCTGACTGGAGGTTTACAGGGAGCCAAAGGCAATTATTAGGCAGGTAGCAGTAGCAGTCAGAGAGTAGAAAGTAGCACCGCAAGTCAGGTTCTCCAACTAAAAAGGAATATGTGGTCCTCACACTTAAATGATTAACAACAGCATATTGCAAGAAGAAATCTGATTTTCAAAGAATAAGCTTAAGATTTCTGACTTTCAGTACAATTTGTCAGCTTGTTTCAGTTCAAAATGGTATTGGTAAAAATGAATAGTCTAGCAAAATACATGGTTGCTTCTCTACTAGAGAACATTATTATCAAAACAAACATGTACCAATATTCTGGATTTCTCTTTATAAAATGCTGTTTACTCTTTTCCATGTATGCAATGAAAACACATAATAATGCATACATGAAAAGAGCAACAGTAGTGGTTTATAATTATATGTTTTATTTTTAATATATAAAATACTTCATAACATTAAAAAAATAGTATCACATGGTAGATGTCTCTAATTTTAGGACACATAAATTACTTAAAGCACCAGGAAACAGAATAAAAAGTTTGTGACTAAATATCAGGACTTCCCATATGGATCAAAGGGGAGAAATTCTGCATAAAACAAAACTTTGATTTTTTTAAAGAAAATTAAATTCAAGAGGCCTAATTACATGGAACAAATACAGTAAACAACAACACACATTCACAGTATACTAAGCAGTTTTCTAAGAATTTTCACATGCCTTTTTCTCACGAGGTTTTTTACAGGCTTAAATACTATTAAAAACAGTGAATACATAAATAATAAATGAGAACAGTAAATAAACGCATACCTAAGAAAAGAAAATTAAGGTCCTATAAACAGCAATATAGTAGTGAAGTTTCTGAAATCAAACTGGTGGGGTGAAGTCATGGCTTCATCATTAAAACCCGAGTGACACTGGGAATTAATGGCTCTGTGCCTTGGCTCCTTTATCTTTGAAAATATCAACTTTTTAAAGAACCATCTGCATACAATTTTAGTGAGGATTAAATGAGTAAGTGGTAAGCAAAAGCTAACTACCATTTCAGCTACTGTTATACCTGTTTTGCAAAGTCTGGCACATAGCAAAGGCCTACCTGTTCACTGAATGACTAAACTGTGGCTTAGAGAGTCTACTTGAAGATCACAGGACCCTCACACAGAACTCTGACCCTGTCAGCACATCCCTTTCCACCACCCTCCTGAAGAAACCCATGCTTTCTAGGAGCCAGCATGCCTGTCATAGAGAATATCATCATGGTCTACACTATCAGCTAAAGAGTGAAGGAATCATTCAAATGGACACTGAGACCTAATCATTTGCCCTCTAAATTGAAAGTTTTATTATTTTACTGAACCAATATAAATACATAGTTCTTTAAACTTCATGTAGGTATATTCTTAAAAAAGTTGACTGCCTAAGTTGAAAAATAAAAGCCATTATTTACCATGTATTGTACAGGTTTTAATCAGTTTTCCTGTCATTACAGAGCTACTAGTATCAAAGAAAAGCCTGCATTAATCAGAATTTAAATTACTGGGAAAGCAAGCAAAAAAATAAAATAAAATAAAATAAAATAAAACAAATAAATCCCAAAAGATTTATTCAGTGACTCAAGAACCATGTAAAATTCCTAATCCCTTTTTACTCAACTTTGGAGTACATCATAAGCTTTGTTTCTTTATTTCTTAAAGCAGTAACAAATTTCTTTCCAAAAAATTATAAATACTGAACTTGATTAGAAAAATATTCCAGCAGCAGAGAATACTGTCTCTTTAATCGTAATACTAAAGAGCATTAGGTAGTTACAAATATCTTTGTGTGATATCCATATGCCTGTCCATATCTTTTTATCTGCCTATGAGTACACCCTTATAGAGATAATACTCCATGTTTGTGACATTAATTTTGGCATCTAAACTTCTATTAATAATGATAGTTTTAATTTAGTTAATATTCACTGATTACAACCTGTGAGTTGCAGTGGAAGGGTTACTTTATAATAAAGCTATGTTTATTGATTATAAAGTATTTGAGCACATAGGTACTCAGTGGATTGATATTTTGACTCATAACCAATGTTTAGGCATATTCCTAAAGAAGTTCTCTTTAGGAATCTATAGGATTTACCATCCATTAATTTACTTATATTAAACATATTTATCTCAATACCACCTCAACTTATCTTTTACATACATTTAGTTTATAACTAAATGGTAATAATGGTCAAGTTTTGTGGATATAATTTGTTCATAAATGGGTGATTGTACTTAATTCTAAATTTACAAACAGGTTTGTCTTTTTCAATTCAGGCTGCCATAACAAAATATCATGGGCTGGGTAGCATAAACAAAAGAAATTTTATTTCTCACAATTCTGGAGGCTTTGAAGTTCAAGATCAAGGTGCCAACACATTTGGTGACTGGTGAGGACTTTCTTCTTGGCTTGCAGATGGCCGCCTTTCTGCTACATCTTCATATGGCCTTTCCTGGCACTAAAGTTCCTCTTCATGTAAGGATATCAACCCTATTAGATTAGTACACCACCCCTGTGACATAATTTAATCTTAATTACTTTCTAAAGGTCTAGTCAAATATAATCAGATTAGCGATTTCAGCTTCAATACATGAATTTTGAGGGCACACTATTCAGTTCATAGTAAGATTAAATCCCAAAAACTTATTCATAAGTCAAATTACAAGCAAACTTTCTTAAAGCATGATGTTCCAAATGGGGTTCACGGCTAAATTAGCTATCAAAAGCTCCCCACATGTATTTTCCATGTTACAGTTTGACAAGAACTTTAACGAAAAAACAAGATGCACAGCTCATGAATTCTGCTATAATCTGTGTCACTAGAAGAACGCCCATAACTACTGCCCACCATTCTCCATGATAAAAAGTATTCTTCCTCTCTGTATGTCCCTCTTATTGGTTGGTAATTTCTTCATCCAATTTACCTATCTTAGGGATAGCATTAAGATGGCCACTTCCTTAAGAGAGCTCGATTTCAACTGCTGCAGAACATCTTGACAGTAGGAAAAAACTCTGGGTGAGAGAAAATAGTTGAGTTCATCAATTGATAGTGGTTATGTGCATAGAATAAGATATTTGGCAGCTAGAGGAGAAAAAAAAAGAGAAAGAAGCATTTGTGTGGAATGCATGCAGATATGCAGGATTAAGGGGCCGAAATGGCAATGAAATAATCATGGAAGTAGACACGAGAAGGGCTTGGAATTATAGGAAGACAGGTACTCCAACATCTGGAAGTTGAAGGACAGTGGCATAGAGTTGGCTATGGATATGGAAAAATAATGCAAGACATAATAGATGAGGCTAGAAAAGAAAGAAAGGACAGTGGAGCGGGGAGCCACCTTGAGTACCGTTGTGTACTACTAAAGTCAAGCTAAAGTTGACAAGACATGCAAGGCAAATTCTTAAAAATAGAACTACTATATTCCGAAAAAATATATTTTATCGTTTTTCTTTCCATGCACATAAATTCTCCTTTGTCTTTCAAACGATTTATTCCTTTTCCTGGTGAGAGGAGAGAAACACTGTGTGTGTGTGTGTGCACGCACGCTTGTGTGCATGCACGCACACATGCATTAAGGGGCACTAGTACATGAACTGAAAGGAAGATTAGAATGGATATAGAAGAAATGTAAATAAAATGATGTTCAAAATAGGATTTTGCTTCAATATACATAAAAGTACAGATTTTGTGGTGAAAGATTATATTTTCCCAAATTCCTTTACATATCAAGAACTAAGCCTGGTTGTCTCAGATCATAGTCGTGTGTGAGTGAAGCATCAAGAGAATATGATTATTTCTTCTCTGAATGATTCAGAGTAGAAACCTCATCTACCTGTGACAATCAGGCATGCTTGATTAGGGTACATATAGGCTATATTAAGCAGAAGGAAAACCTAAAAACCATCTCTTCTGGTCCTGAGAGACTGGAGAAAGCTGGACTCAAGAAGTGCAGCAGAAAAAAGGAACACAGAAAGCGACATGTGAGCAAACGAGAGAGAAAAATGTTTCTGGTAAGTTGACAAAATGGTAGGTGAGTCAACACTTTGGTTGATATTTGGTCTTTTTGTTTTTCACACAGTCTCGCTCTGTCATTCAGGCTGAAGTGCAGTGGCATAATCTTGGCTCACTGCAACCTCTGCTTCTTGGGTTCAAGCCATTCTCCCACTTCAGCCTCCCAAGTATCTGGGATTGTAGGTACCCACCACCACACCCAGCTAATTTTTGTATTTTTAGCAGAGATGAGGTTTCACCATGTTGGCCAGGCTAGTCTTAAACTCCTGGTCTTAGGTGATCCGTCTGCCTAAGCTTCTCAAAAGTGCTGGGATTACAGGTGTGAACCACCATGACTGGCCAATATTTGGGACTTTTTGAAATCATGTCTACACTAAACTGTGGAGACCACATAATAAAGTCTGCAGAGTGGTGTGAAAAACTAATGGAAGATTAGACTACAGCATTCCTGACATGCTGTTGGTTCCCTTGTAGTGCAATTGAAAGCCTCAAGTTCTCAGC